TCATCTCCCATAACCAGGTTAGTTGCTTGAGTTAAAAATAAATTACAGAAATATTAAACTTATGATCAAGATTTGGGCATAATTTATTATTTCCATACAAGGAAGGGCAGACACCCCAGTGCCTTATGAAAAACTCACCAGATTTAGCACAGTTTCCAGAAGCCAGCCAAAGGTGGTCTGTCTCCTGTAAATAACTGCAGTCTTGGTTTATGACAGGACATGGGAGGTGATTACCAGGGAGCAAGGTAACAATTAGCATTTGTGTGACCCTGACTTCTGAGGGCTTACCTGCAGGCAAAAACTGGCACCTCCACTCGATTTTGGCCAGAGGGGTGGAAAATGGGTTAGGACCTTTTCTGGGTCTGTGGCTGGCTGATTACAAGAGCTGGAGGTTCTGACTAGGCTTCCAGAGGGCTGGGAGGAGGGTTGACATGGGTGCTGCCAGCCTTCCCAAAGGCAACAAACCATTTCCCCTTCCCCACTCGGAAGTCCTCTGAGCCAAATTGCTGCTAAGTAAAACCACACTTTCCTCTGATCCAGGGTGGTTAACCTAAGTAGAAAACACACAGGAGAAATGCAAGGAGTCATGTTGGCTCGTGCTGAGAGACCAAGGTGGACTGGCTGCAGAGCACAGAGAATTAAATCATCTCCCTTTTGAAATCAACAGGTTGAAGACCTTGGGCAAATGGAAGATCCAGTGTTATTAGCTGTATCATTCCAGGATGGATACATGACTCAGGGAGCCTGTGAGCCAGCTGGGAGAACCAGTCAGCTGATAAGCTTGCTAGGGTGGGCTGGTCCTCCCTTGGAGCAGGGAGGTGGGACATGCCACCTCAGGTCCCTCCAGCTACATCATCCCACAGACAGCAGCTTGCAAAACGAGAGTGAAACGGTCACGAAATTTGCAACAAGGGAAATTCTCACTAGATAAAAGAGAAAAGCTTCTCCCTGAGGGTGGTTCAGCACTGGCACAGGTGCCCGAAGAGACTCAGGAATCCGCAACTTGGAGACATACAGGAACTGCCTGACCAAAGCTCTGAGCAGCCTCATGTAGGTCTGGGGCTAGCCCTGCTGTGAGCAGGAGCTGAGTGGAGACCTGCAGACATCCCTTCCCACTGCAGTCTTCCTATGAATCTGATTCTAAAACCACATAGAGCTCCATTTCCCTTTTTGGGAGTGCAGGCACACAGCATGTAGTAGTGTCCTTGATGAAAAGAAAAGGCAGGCAAGTCCTCTAGTCTGTGCTAGGCCTGGGGAAAGTCTTTCTCCAAGCCAGGACCCAGGCAGAGGCCCCCTAGATGGCTTCTCCTGGTTTGCTCTCTCAAATTCACACAAATAATACCTAGAAACTGTTGTTTGTTGGTAATGAAACACTGGTAAGTTTATAAACCTCCTTGCCCAATCTCACTACTGTCCCAGCAGTGGCTGTCCCCACAGCCACCATGGCTCAGTGACTGGTAATCAAACAATGAGCTGCCTCAGTTGACCATTCAATCAGGCTAATTGGGCCTGGGCTACAGTTCAGGGAGGTGTTAATTGTGGATGTTCATTCATGTGCCACTCAGCCCAGTTCAGGTGCCTACAAAATATGCCAGTATGTCATACCTGCATGGCAGGATGTGTACTGTGCCAGCAGAGGCCCCTCAGATGCACACAGTTTATCCAAATCTCTGGTACCTGCCTCATTGATGGGGAATGTTTTGTCTCCCCCATACATGGTGTAGCACAGTTACAGCTGTTTGTACACCAAGACATGCAATGCTCTGGTAAACTGATCTTTGTCCCAAGAATAATCTCCATAAAGTCCTTCCTGACAACCTGTCCAAGCTGCCCACATGTAGTTTCCAAGCCACAGAGCTAAATACTCTTAATTTGAGCCCAGAGCCCAGCACATGATAGGAATCACCCAGCACCCACATTTTGGGACCTTTCTTTGTTCAGCAGCAGAAGGTCTCTGATAACCTCCTGTGTGAAAGATACTGGTTTCCCAGGGTTGAACACCACCCTTGAGAGACTTAAAAGACACCAGAGAAATTCGGTAGCTCTTCACAGTGAAGGTTCCCCCGTGCACTCTACAGGCTGATCCAGTGACACCCCCCAGCTCCTGCACGGGCACACGCACCTGTGGAGAAATGAAGGAACAATTCTGCAGGGTGGGGGAGGGTAGCGTTAAATGACCACCCTAACAGTTCTCAGTTGCTCTGCAAACGTCATCTAAGCACATGGGGACCGAATGTGAGAAGCCAAACAATGCCACCCATGTTCCCAGATGCTGTCGCACCTCCAGCCCATGTCCGGGCTGCTCCTCGGGCTGGGCTGGGATGTGCTTGGCCGCACG